ACCTATCGCCATGGACTTTTTAAGAAGCTTGGAATTCCTGGGCCTAAACCTCTGCCTTTCTTTGGAACTCTTTTGGCCTACAGAAAGGTGAGTGTTGTTTGATGTCCTTCTTTGACCAACACTGCCCTTGTTGCATCAGTAAAAGTGCTGTTCCTTAGAGGAATGTACTGAAATTGTAGATGTTCAGAAACTGTGTCTGGGTCCTACCCACAGCAGGGCCAGGTTTCCCTGGGGCTCTGCTCTCAACTGTCTGCAGCCTCAGCTTTGCCTCAGTTCCACAGCACAGATCTCTGGCATGTCAACACTGGATAAACAGGAGATGAGGTTAGGAGGTTAGATGAGGTTAGATGAGGTTAAGAGGATGTTATTTGTCAGTATTTGGAGAAAAGCATGATGGGATTCCCTAGGAGCAGTTCATCAGCCTGTGCACCTTTAAATTCAACCTTTCCTGTTCATTCCAGAGCTCATGAGCAGCTTTGATTCTTCTTCCTGATGGATAGCTCTCAGTGTTCATCTTATTAGATGGCCCACGTGTTCTGCACTGGGGATTCACACATTCTCCAGGTGTCTCAGGCACTGCCCAGTCCTCTGTAGTTATTTTCACAGCTCATAGCTTCTGATACCCATGACATCTTTTCAGGAATTAAGAATAGAATGAGATAGAATGAGAGCATTCTCCTGTGCTTCTTTTCCTTCAAGTTAGCACCAAATGGATGAACCTGAATAGAGAATGTGAGCATATCTGAAGCAGAGTGGGACTGTCTGTCTATCAACTTGTTTTATTGAACTACATAATGAATTTTGCTTTGGTAAACAAAGACAGAATCACATACAAAATCACTAGAGAAAGGATGAGTTTAGAAATATATTAAAAATTCAGTTAAACTGAATATAATGTAATATGCAATGTGAAATTAGATTGAACCTTGTAAGAAACCTGGCCTGAGTGTTGGTCCAGGGTCTGGCCCCTTGAGGGATATTCTTGAGCTCATGTTCCAAAGTCCAGTACCAAAACCAGTGTGCAGTATGCTCTCTATTCAGATTTCTTTTCCTGAGGATTCCACACTTATTTTGGATTCTAATATTTGCAACTGAGGGTTTCATTTTCTCATAATGGCTTCAAGATTCATACT